TCACGCAAAATGGTATGGAACTTGAGTCTTTGATCAGCTATGGTTTGTTTGGTGATGCTTGCATGTAAGCCATGTATGCAGTATAGCACATTCCAGCATAATGTCTCATCAACGGATAAGCTTCTGGTTAAAGCTACTCGATTGAAAGCTTTAGCTACATGTATCACTCTGAGGCCCGCAGGTGAATTGAGCTTGCTACTTTGCTACATAACGCAGAATCGTTTCATTCCCACGAATACAAATAGGGTTAAATATGGCTTCTGAACAAACTGTGAGAAAGGATCTGTCATCTAGATCATCCATACTAATAGAGATATAGGCCCCGATGGAGAAGCCAGCTGACAAGACGCGTGATTTTGCTGCTAGGGTAGGCTTAGCGCGAGACCAAAGTTATGACGAGCTGATCATGGGAATGTGCGATTTAGAAGATGCAGTCTTCCCTGGGATGTTTGCGAAAGCCGCGCCAAATGTTGATTACGCATAAATCCAGAGCATGAGCACCTTGAATCCCAAAATCAACAGTGCAAAACGCGACTCGCAAGCTTACACTCTAGTCAAATGCGAGATTGAATTCTGAGACACAACTCTGGCACAACCAGCTCGACGGAGATGCAAGCAGACTTTTCGTTCCAAAATAGATGCAGCAAACAAGCTTGGATCTGATTGAATTACGAGCTGATGTTACACGCCGTGTGATAGCAAATAGAAATGCTTGGAGCGACCACGCTAGCATTTTGATGTTGAAATGGAATTTGGAATTAGCAGCGCCCGAACATAATGGCGCATACAACCCATGATATTTGGCGTTCAAAAAATTGAAGACTCTAGAACCACTCACGAAAGACGAGACAAGACTGCAGAGGGAGGACGGACCGCACACTACAGAAGGACAGAGAGAGAACTGGAGACAGAGAACATAAAGCTAAATAGAGAAAATAAGTCTGTGGAAGAGAAGAAGAACGAGAGGAACAAATGGGAGAATACGTATGAGAGACTAAAGAACGAGAATAGAGATCTGCAATTGCGCGTCACCAAATCGTCCGATTCGATTGAGCCGGGTACCGCGAAGCTTTTCATCGAGCTCTGTTTATATCTCGTGGACTATATCGAGCGTAATTTCTGGCTCTATAGTTGGAACACTCTTATCAAGTAGCTTTCCATTCCTATGTAGTTTTCGAAGAATTCGTAGATAAGAACAATATGCACACTCCGACTATGGAGAGTGCAATTGTTGTCAAAACCTGGCAAACCATTAGCATCATGACTACTCTTTTAGGCGCAGAATGCGGAAGCGACTACCTACCGTTTGCGTTTTCCATCCGGTCTGTACGATCGCAGCTCTCCTGCTGTACTTGTTCACTGTCTTGATGTAGTTACCGAACCCTAGCGAGAGACATGCCAGACTTAGCAGCCAGAATATGATACCAAGAGGCCTGGCTATGCGCAGCTCGAGGACTGTAGGCTCGGATTTGAGATGGAAGGATACAACGATTGCTATAGACACAATTGTCATGTAAATGGAAAGTCGTAGGTAGGAGAGAAAAGCTAGAGCAGGGTCAGCTAAGAACAGAGGGAAGCTGGTAAACACTTACTCCGCTCGTTAGCACAATGATCTCGCGCATCGCTGTCGGTGTTGTCGAACAGCAATGGTCCAAAAAATGGCGATGCACAGAATATAGAGCTATCTGGGTATCTGCGAAATAGTCAGTCTTTGTGGACTTGAATAATCGGGTGTTGCACTGCTTACTCTTCTACCAGCACAGGTTCTGCAACGCGGCAATGCAGCGCATTGCGCCTATGCTGCGCGGTCAGTTCCTCCTCATCCCCAGAATGTGGCATCTCTTATGGCTGAGATCATCTTCTCATTTTGAAGATCCGAGAACAGAACTTGCCGAGTTGGACCTGAGTTTTCTAGCTTCCGCTAAGAGAGGGGTCACCCGGCTAGGACTACCTCATTAGTACTAAAACAGAACTGAAGCTCTTATCTCGTTGTGGGGTATCGTGTAACTTCTTGTCCTGTCTTTCTGCTTCTTCCTTGCCATTTTTCTGTTTAACCTTCCACTCGTACATTGCTTCAACATATTCAGAAGGTTCGGCCTTACTCTCACTGCTATGTAGGGTCTATATACTTGCATGTACATCAACTACACTCGAACTCCTGGTATATGTATAGCTTCCTTAGCACTGCACACCGAATTTATAATTTCATCCGTCAACAATTAATGCTCCAGTCCTGGGGTACTGGACAACCATACAAAATGTCGACTCCCTCAAGGTCTATAAAGAAGCAGCCGAGTCGGCATAGCTTAATTGCAAGGTCTCCATTCAGTACCTCATTCCTTTCGACTTCTCCGATAGCTCAAGAAAGCATAGCAAGGGACTTGCTGGAGTGCTCGGATGATGAGAACCAGGAAGCAGATCATGGGGATTCCGATAGCTCTTCTGGAAGCTCTACAGTCCGTGCAGATGATTCACAGCATTCAATCGCACATGCATTCCGTAGACCAAGTGCTGTAGCATATGGGGCGGCCAGGCCAGCGCTTACACCACAAAATCTGGAGACTGTGCGGTTGTCAAAGAGGGAGAAGAAGCAGTCAAGAAATGAAGAGCGTAGCTTGCTTCGGGACAACAACTTATATCCGCCGAAGCACTCAGAGGCAGACAGAGGTATACTAGGCCGACTGTACAAGAGTATATTCAGCACGAAGCATCCCAAGCACGAAGAGGAAACTGGAGAAGATGCCCAGTTGTTCGCAGCAGATCCTTCGGAGACTTCTCTGTTGGTTCCAGATGCGCCTAGGGAATCTAGAAGAACGAAAAATGAACGATTGAATAGACAGTGGGAGGAAGCAGTTGCAGCAGGCCAGATACAGACGACATGGCAACGAGAAACGAAGACACTGTGGAACTATGCATCGCCACTCGTCGTAACTTTTAGTAAGTTCTTCTCGCAGAAAACTTATCTAGTGAGAAACAAGAAACAGTGGGCTAGCTCGTTAACATAGCATTGCAGTTCTTCAATATTCCCTTACAGTAGCAAGTATATTTACTGTTGGCCATATCGGCTCAGTAGAACTAGGTGCTGTGAGTCTCGCCAGCATGACTGCCAACATCACTGGCTACGCAATATATCAAGGATTGGCCACAAGTCTCGATACTTTGTGCTCTCAAGCTTATGGTTCTGGAAGGAAAGAGCTTGTAGGCTTGCAAATGCAGCGAATGGTGTACTTCCTCTGGATTTTGACAATACCCATTGGACTCGTTTGGTTCTTCGCAGAAGATATCCTGATCATCATCATACCTGAACGAAGAAGTGCTGAGCTTGCAGGACTGTATCTCAGGATTCTCCTTGCTGGAGCTCCTGGCTTTGCAGCCTTCGAGAGCGGTAAACGCTTTGTGCAAGCTCAGGGCTTGTTTTCTGCCACCACATATGTATTGCTAGTTGCCGCACCTCTGAATGCTTTTATGAACTGGCTGTTTGTGTGGCACTTCGGTTGGGGATTTGTTGGTGCTCCAATCGCAGTAGTTATCACGGATAATCTCCTGCCATTGTTACTCTTACTGTATGTTTGGTTAATTGAGGGCAGGGAGTGCTGGAATGGTTTCACAACGAAAGCGTTCCGCAACTGGAGTAAGAACTGACCTTTATTTGCGATACCGACTGATGCTAATATTAAATAGTTCCAATGATCAAATTGGCTTTACCAGGTCTTATAATGGTGGAAGCCGAGTTCCTTGCATTCGAAGTTTTGATTCTCGCAGCCAGCTACCTTTCAACGACGCATCTCGCAGCGCAAAGCATCCTATCAACAGTATCTTCACTTACCTTCCAGATACCGTTCTCTGTGTCCATAGCTGGCTCAACTCGTGTTGCCAACTTGATCGGAGCAACTCTTTCGGATGCAGCCAAGACCAGTGGTGAAGTGGTAAGTCATTCCGCACCTCTCTCTGTAATTGATTTAACATGAGCCTAGACTGTGATAATCGAGTTTGGCATTGGAATTTTCAATGTGATTCTGCTCTCAACTCTCCGAACCTACATCCCGCACCTCTTCACCGATGATGTTGCAGTCGTAACACTCGTCGCCAAAGTCCTGCCAGTCTGCGCCATGATGCAACTTTTTGATGCGTTAGCAGCAGGCATGAACGGTCTCTTGAGAGGGCTTGGGCGACAAGAAGTCGGAGGTTACACAAATTTGTTTTGCTACTATGTTGTCGCTATGCCAATATCGTTCGGCACGACTTTTGGATTAGACTGGGGACTGGCAGGTTTGTGGATTGGTCCTGCTATTGCCCTCATGTTGTAAGTTCTTCCTGCTTGTTTCGTTTTGGATTGAGGCTAATCAAGTTGTATTAGGGTTGCAATGATTGAGGGTATATTTTTATATAAAGCGGACTGGGAAGAAGCGGTTGATGAAGCGCAAGATCGAAATGCTGCTGCTTAAGAAGTATACCAAACCACCTATAGCAATTTATGAAGATATATATCCGGAATATAGTATGTTACGTATCTATATAGGTTGATACCTTATGTATATACGAAATCACAAGTCCGTCTGAGATAGCGATAATTGCTTCTGGTTCCCAGCGCAATTTCTCCATACCTGATTTCTGAAGCTGTCTCGTCTTCAAATTGATAGAGCCTGGAGCATACACTTATTGAAACTCGGGACACTCGACTATGTTAAGCAAGACGGGACACTCTTCCATGTTAGCAAGGCATCAAAGCCCAGGAAGTCCACGGAGCCCCAAGATCGAGTCCTATGACAGTGCACATCGTCCAAGATAAAAAAAATAAACATAGGTCCTTTGTTACTTAAATAGCCATACATCGTGCAAGGTCAAGACCACGCACGTGATGAATTGAGCAGTTATCGCTTGGCTAGTTGCACCCCTTTTACGTAAAGAGATTCCACCCACCCACTAATCCTACTCACTCTAACAACAGGAAGTTCCACTCGCAAAAGTAAGAAAAATTTATGCATAGTTGCATAATAAAATGACCAGAGAGAGGCTCGATCTCTCGACCTTCTGCGGCATGCTGAACATGTTAAGCAGACGTGATAACCAACTACACCATCCGGCCATGATTTACATACCTTACTAAAAGAAAAAATATATACTAAAGAAAACATGAGCATAGATTAACTATCGAGTTAAGTGGGGAAGATGTTTGGAGGGACGAAGGATATGCTTTTGATTGCTAACTGAAAAACAATAAAATCGAGAGTATGTGTGTCATCCCAGCAAGGCTTGTATGACTTAGAAGTCGAGTTTCTTGTACGCAAAAGGTTTGCTTCCGTCGCAATCGCTGTTCAAGAATCGTGTCTTCTCCAATCCTCGACCCAGAAATGAAATTCATCCTTAAAAAACCCTTGGATTCAAGCAAATACCATCACCACGATATTAGAGAGTTCCAAATGAAATAAGTTTCTCGAGGTGTCATTGTTCACAGGATGATTCCATCTCCGATTGCCGGCCACAACGTCCACTCATGGAAGTTGCTGCAATGCCATCTGCACAGCATATGCACAAGATCATGGATGGTGTTATATCTTTTACCGCCGGCGTAACTGTATCACTGCAACCTCTCAATAAGTCGTCTCATTTGAGAATTTCGGCCAAGAACTGGCGGTTCCAGCGGGTCGCCGACGCCTCGAGTTGTGGATGATGTCGTTCGAGGAGTCGAGCTTCTTATGTTCTTCTCTTCTAGGGTATACTCTCCAGCTCTTATCTTCTGCTGTTTCACGATTTCATCTCCATTGCTGTCATCACGGATGCGTTTGGACCTTTGCCGGAGTTTGGTTACCTTTTCGGTGAGTTTAAAGCTGCCTACGCTGGCAGAAACTGTCGTTTACCCGGTATACTGCCTCTTCTCCACAGTAAGATCACGTGAAAAAGAAAGGTTGTATACCTGTTTGGTGATTCGATTTTATATTAGGTCTACTGTTGGAATACCAGCTCAGGTATGTGTGGAAGTGCGTCGAGCACGTGACTAAGCTGGAGTGGGTCGGCCATGTTGGCCGGCTGCCCCGCTTGGCGGAAGCGGCATATAGATAGGTTGAGTGTGACCACACCTATGTTGTTCCGACCAAACTGGTAATACGATATGTTGTCACAACCCACCTGGTGCCTGTGCAAATATCTACTGACATACAATCCGAGTATGTAAGTATTCGGGTGTGCGGGTGCAGTACGGCCCGCAGTATCTCCACTTCGGATATTCCGAAACACTCACTTAATCACATGATACTGAATCGATATTCAGACAGAAACCATCCCACGTTCGATCAGAAGAGCTTAGTCTAGGATCCATTGAAGCAGGGCAACTTGCATAGCCTTTTCGGTGTTGGTGCTTCGATAGAATTTTGTGTCGACGAGAAAATTTGTTGTAAAGTTAGACCGCCGACTGCTTTGTTCGAGCGATGTCGTTGCCGCTGCGATATTTGCCTTGGCTGCGGCATGCATTCCGCCCATCTGAATAGAAGGTTGTCCTGCAGTGCTCATTCTATCACCTGTGAAGCAGATTGTGCGGATTTCAAGTCTCTCTGGGTCTGGGCTTGTTCGGTGTCAAAGGAGAACCCCCTTCCCCAAGACCATAATGAGCCCTCAGTGTCCGTAGGTCGGAGAATTTTCGAGTCTCTCAGTGCCTTCCCGGCGCTATCACACTCCCATCTTTGGCATTTGATGTCTGTTGTGAGGTTGTCAACTTTCATATACTGGCAGTTGATAAACTCAATCCATGTCATCATTCTGTCTTGTTGATCCGGCTCTATACTTGGCTGGGCTGAACGCTTGAAGCCGTGTGTTACCAAGCGATCATGGAACTTCCGGTGATATGGATTGAAACAGCATGACTCTGTCGGATATTAAACGTAGTCCAGCTCATCAGTACTGGATCGTCCGTTCGTACACGCCGTTGAAAAGAACGAAAATTTTCCAGGCCCTTGTTTGCTTTCTGTCTTGAAAAGATGCTTAAAGGCCCAAACCAGGGTGACGTTCCTCGTGTGGGTCTATCAGTGTAAAATATCTGATGCAACCCGCCTCAGATTTACAGCATGTATCAAACAAATGCCATGAGCCAGATCGGGATTTCAGCATGTTCCACCAACAGGATGGTAATGAAGCAAGCTTTCTCTGAGCATCATCTGCCAACGAGATGGCAACAAGGCAGACTTTTGTTCCGTATAGTTTGCGAAGTACACATCGTACGACATCGTCGGTTATGCCAGCTCTCAAACATGCGCATACTCTGATGAATCAAAACATGGAGGCCCCATGTAGTGATGATATCTATGAATTATTTGGCAACTGAGAGAGCTTCTCGGGCTTCAGCACTCACACTGATACTGGAGTAAACAACGATGACACTCTATATGCGCAATACGGGAGCCATTCAGTATCATATGAGATGTTCGAGGCTCGTTCGTCCCGCATGAATCGAATCAGCCTGCCAACATTCATCGCCAGTACGACCACCTGAGAAGGACCCATCTAACTGGATGGCTTGAAATAATCAAGAACCTCATAACTACCCAAACAATGATCCTAAGGGCAAGGCAGTCCAGAGAGTAGAGGCACATCTTCATGGCCAAATACCAAAGCGTAGGGTGGAAAAGACAGTGAAGCAGAAACAATTACTCCTGTGTGCGTTTGACCAATCCATAACTATATCACTTTCTGGGCTTACCTCCGAAGCTCTGGCTCGACTAATGGCAGATACTGTTAAGAAATCATATCATATCTATGTGAAGGGAGGTCACGTGAGGGCGTGACTTATGCGCGGGCAGTGCCTCAGTTATCTGGGCCCAGTGTTAGATATTAGGGGAGCGTCACCCTTAGTCCCTTATGGAAATACAACATTATCACACTCAGCCCATACACAGTGCGAATAGATACAAGCTTAACCAAAAAGCAGATAGGTGCAAGTTATAGACTGCTGCTTCAACATTGACTACAAAGACGCTAACAGCTCTGTTCAGAAGCACTGGTTCAGATATAATAAACAAAAATCTGGATTATATTAGATCGAGTGCGAAAGTCTTATGTTGTAGGAGAACGGAAGAAGAGCTAGAGAAAGAAGGAGTGCATCGCGTGAATTGACAAGATAAATCTTCCAATGATCTCTATAGCCAGCATGCACATCAAACAAAATAGTCCTTCAAACGACGGATGTTCACCATATTTTAGACGATAGAAACCTCATAAACTCGCAAGGCAACGCGATGTCCTTGTATAGAACTCTAATATTGGCCTCCCTATCTTTTGACATACTTCAATTGCCTTATAGATCGTCCGACGAACTTTTTTTTACAAAAGGATTGTATTCGCGTGGAACATACGACGGAGTGACTTCCTTTCTTGCGTCCACTTGGTTAGCCTACTTAGGATTCCGAATCTACAGGGAGTCTTGCACTAATAGGTAGCCAGTCTCACCTCCATCTCCTTTCTCCTAGCTAAAGTTGAAAAGAAGTTACGTTTGCCCCTCTCGTCCCAGCCTATAGCCTAGTGTTTAAATAAACCTTGAATCGATTTTTTTTTTAGATAACCATAACCACAATTGCTGCGTCATCGCCTGCAATTGCTGTCTAGTAAGAGACTTCTCTTTGTGCATTGAGTAAAGACGTCGCTTTTGCCAGCCGGTCGACATTCGCAACTCCATGGATCGTTTTCAGGACTAAGCACTAAGCCCGCAGTTGATATAGTGCTTATTACACCAACATAGGTAGCTTCAATAGTGACATTAATACTTATACACAAGAGGTATCATCGCCAAAAGCTGCAATATCAGAACCCGAAAACCCCCATCAAGCAACGATCTCTTGGCAAAACAAGTCATCTGTCATGCCCGGACGCTGATCCTTAACTTTCGCCCCAGCAGGACATACGCCCACTTCCTGCCGAAAAATAGTCGCACGGAGCGTAGCGGAGCCCATCAGGCCCTTCAAATCCGTTGTCTCCCCATCCCAAGTCAACATTGGCATCTCTGAGATCTTCGGCAAGACGCCATTCCTAGGTAGTGTCTTTAAAAGTGACTTCGTCGCCAAGGGAACCTCGCTCTTTGCTAGCGACTTGTATTTCGCAGGGTTGGCCATGAGCTCAGAGGTAGGGTCTTCGGAGTACAGATCATCTTTGTACTCTTCTGGCGGCTGGTAAAGCTCATTGTGAAGAGTTGCTAGAGAGTCTAGATTCTTAAGACTTGGGTATAGTGTGAAATATCCACGAACGCGGGAGAGCTGGAGAACATGCTCCAGCCAGGAAGGGTATGATTTGCTCACAGTTTTGGCGCTTGCTGTAGAAGCCGAAGATTTGTGTTGAGAGGCAAGTGTTCGGGACACAAAGTCATGAAGTTCTACCCACTTGTCACCGAAGATGAGCGCAGCATTGCTGTTCGGTGCTTGCCAAAGGTATGGCGAGAGGTTAGGTGTCTTTCCATAATCAGAATTCTCACTCTTAGGTGGAATAAAAGGGATTTTGTCATCAAGGAATTTCGCTGGAACGTCTAGACTAATACCTAGCAGGTTATCTGCTTCGTATTTGTTTGCCGAGAACTTATATTCCAGAATGTTGTACTTCAGGTAATGGAAGAACAGAGGCGAAAGTTCGACTCGAGGAGAAAGAACTAGAATATGTGATCCAAGAGAATCGGCTGGCCAGAAAGATTCGAGGAAGCGGACTGAGTTCTCCTCAGGACTTAAAACTTTTTGTGGTATCCTGTGGTGTATTGACAACAGGCTGCCTGTGTTTGAATCAGACTTCGGAGGCCATTGAAAGTTCTCAAGATAGCGTTTAGTAGTCTCATCAACATCGTTAGGTAATTCGATAATCAATCTCGGAGGGGCAGATGAAAACAAATCTGCTTTCTTTAACGAGTTCAAGAGCCTGATCAGCGACCCAGACGACTCGGTTGGCGCATGTACCAGCATATCAATTCGTGCTCGATTCCAAGCTACCATTGTTAGTGCTTTGCAAATTGGTGTGACATTCAATCTTACCGTTCAACGATGCACTGTCCAGCATTGTAAGCCACAGCATATTCTGCTCAGCGTTTCCCGGTAGCTCGATGATAGTGCTACCCAAGATTCC